ACTTTTAAAAGTATTCTTGAAGTTTTTTAGCGTGATACTTACTGATGTGGGAGCGAATTATAGTGTGCAAATTGAACAATACAATCTCTTATATAAATTTAAAATTTAAATACCAGTTTGCAGTTCAGGAAGTCTGTATTGTGTTGACATTTGTATACCTCACCAAACAACACTTTATCTTATGTGTGAATATCAACTTCCGGGGCCCCAGATTATTCAATATCATACCAGAAGATATCAGGAACTGCTGGAACAAGTGCAGAAGTCTTCACCAGGTGCCAGATCAACCAGACTGTGATGGTTATATGGGCCAGCGGGCCTCCAGCAGCAACAGCCTGGTTGACCAGGCTAGCACCAGACGAGCCTGGCCCATGGCCGGTCTCCTGGAGTAGAAAGATTCGAAACTCATCAAAGGTGTATCAGAGGTCACAGACGCCTGTGACACAGACAGGACACAACAGTGTCTTCTGTGAAACTTTCCTGTTAGAAGCCCCGCAGCTCAACGGTAAAGCATTGGACATGTCAATCTCGGGACAACAGTTCGAGCCCCCGTTCACATTTGTTTATTATTTTATTTTATATATATATATATAATATATATATATATATATATATATATATATATATATATATATATTTTATATATATATATATATATATATATGCGAGAAGTGGGTCATAATAAGCGTGTATGCACCTGGAGAAGAGAGGGGAAAGCAGAGGAGAGAGAGAGATTTTGGGAGATGTTAAGTGAATGTATAGGAGCCTTTGAACCAAGTGAGAGAGTAATTGTGGTAGGGGACTTGAATGCTAAAGTAGGAGAAACTTTTAGAGAGGGTGTGGTAGGTAAGTTTGGGGTGCCAGGTGTAAATGATAATGGGAGCCCTTTGATTGAACTTTGTATAGAAAGGGGTTTAGTTATAGGTAATACATATTTTAAGAAAAAGAGGATAAATAAGTATACACGATATGATGTAGGGCGAAATGACAGTAGTTTTGTTGGATTATGTATTGGTAGATAAAAGACTGTTGAGTAGACTTCAGGATGTACATGTTTATAGAGGGGCCACAGATATATCAGATCACTTTCTAGTTGTAGCTACACTGAGAGTAAAAGGTAGATGGGATACAAGGAGAATAGAAGCATCAGGGAAGAGAGAGGTGAAGGTTTATAAACTAAAAGAGGAGGCAGTTAGGGTAAGATATAAACAGCTATTGGAGGATAGATGGGCTAATGAGAGCATAGGCAATGGGGTCGAAGAGGTATGGGGTAGGTTTAAAAATGTAGTGTTAGAGTGTTCAGCAGAAGTTTGTGGTTACAGGAAAGTGGGTGCAGGAGGGAAGAGGAGCGATTGGTGGAATGATGATGTAAAGAGAGTAGTAAGGGAGAAAAAGTTAGCATATGAGAAGTTTTTACAAAGTAGAAGTGATGCAAGGAGGGAAGAGTATATGGAGAAAAAGAGAGAAGTTAAGAGAGTGGTGAAGCAATGTAAAAAGAGAGCAAATGAGAGAGTGGGTGAGATGTTATCAACAAATTTTGTTGAAAATAAGAAAAAGTTTTGGAGTGAGATTAACAAGTTAAAAAAGCTAGAGAACAAATGGATTTGTCAGTTAAAAATAGGAGAGGAGAGTTATTAAATGGAGAGTTAGAGGTATTGGGAAGATGGAAGGAATATTTTGAGGAATTGTTAAATGTTGATGAAGATAGGGAAGCTGTGATTTCGTGTATAGGGCAAGGAGGAATAACATCTTGTAGGAGTGAGGAAGAGCCAGTTGTGAGTGTGGGGGAAGTTCGTGAGGCAGTAGGTAAAATGAAAGGGGGTAAGGCAGCCGGGATTGATGGGATAAAGATAGAAATGTTAAAAGCAGGTGGGATATAGTTTTGGAGTGGTTGTGCAATTATTTAATAAATGTATGGAAGAGGGTAAGGTACCTAGGGATTGGCAGAGAGCATGCATAGTTCCTTTGTATAAAGGCAAAGGGATAAAAGAGAGTGCAAAAATTATAGGGGGATAAGTCTGTTGAGTGTACCTGGTAAAGTGTATGGTAGAGTTATAATTGAAAGAATTAAGAGTAAGACGGAGAATAGGATAGCAGATGAACAAGGAGGCTTTAGGAAAGGTAGGGGGTGTGTGGACCAGGTGTTTACAGTGAAACATATAAGTGAACAGTATTTTAGATAAGGCTAAAGAGGTCTTTGTGGCATTTATGGATTTGGAAAAGGCGTATGACAGGGTGGATAGGGGGGCAATGTGGCAGATGTTGCAAGTGTATGGTGTAAGGAGGTAGGTTACTGAAAGCAGTGAAGAGTTTTTACGAGGATAGTGAGGCTCAAGTTAGAGTATGTAGGAAAGAGGGAAATTTTTTCCCAGTAAAAGTAGGCCTTAGACAAGGATGTGTGATGTCACCGTGGTTGTTTAATATATTTATAGATGGGGTTGTAAGAGAAGTAAATGCGAGGGTCTTGGCAAGAGGCGTGGAGTTAAAAGATAAAGAATCACACACAAAGTGGGAGTTGTCACAGCTGCTCTTTGCTGATGACACTGTGCTCTTGGGAGATTCTGAAGAGAAGTTGCAGAGATTGGTGGATGAATTTGGTAGGGTGTGCAAAAGAAGAAAATTAAAGGTGAATACAGGAAAGAGTAAGGTTATGAGGATAACAAAAAGATTAGGTGATGAAAGATTGAATATCAGATTGGAGGGAGAGAGTATGGAGGAGGTGAACGTATTCAGATATTTGGGAGTGGACGTGTCAGCGGATGGGTCTATGAAAGATGAGGTGAATCATAGAATTGATGAGGGAAAAAGAGTGAGTGGTGCACTTAGGAGTCTGTGGAGACAAAGAACTTTGTCCTTGGAGGCAAAGAGGGGAATGTATGAGAGTATAGTTTTACCAACGCTCTTATATGGGTGTGAAGCGTGGGTGATGAATGTTGCAGCGAGGAGAAGGCTGGAGGCAGTGGAGATGTCATGTCTGAGGGCAATGTGTGGTGTGAATATAATGCAGAGAATTCGTAGTTTGGAAGTTAGGAGGAGGTGCGGGATTACCAAAACTGTTGTCCAGAGGGCTGAGGAAGGGTTGTTGAGGTGGTTCGGACATGTAGAGAAATGGAGCGAAACAGAATGACTTCAAGAGTGTATCAGTCTGTAGTGGAAGGAAGGCGGGGTAGGGGTCGGCCTAGGAAGGGTTGGAGGGAGGGGGTAAAGGAGGTTTTGTGTGCGAGGGGCTTGGACTTCCAGCAGGCATGCGTGAGCGTGTTTGATAGGAGTGAATGGAGACAAATGGTTTTTAATACTTGACGTGCTGTTGGAGTGTGAGCAAAGTAACATTTATGAAGGGATTCAGGGAAACCGGCAGGCCGGACTTGAGTCCTGGAGATGGGAAGTACAGTGCCTGCACTCTGAAGGAGGGGTGTTAATGTTGCAGTTTAAAAACTGTAGTGTAAAGCACCCTTCTGGCAAGACAGTGATGGAGTGAATGATGGTGAAAGTTTTTCTTTTTCGGGCCACCCTGCCTTGGTGGGAATCGGCCGGTGTGATAATAATATAATAATAATAATATATATATATATATATATATATATATATATATATATATATATAATAATATATATATATATATATATATATATATATATACACACACACACACACATATGTGTTGGCGAATAACATCGCACAATTTAATATGTCTACTGTAATTTAATGCAGGAGAAAAGGGTTTCATTAATGTAATGGCAGGAGTCTTGGAAGAAAACACAGAAGTTGTGTCAAGTCACCGGGGGATTGTGAAGGAGGTGGTGGAGGTACTTCACTCCACTGGTGACTGTGTCAGCCTTCCTGGGCAGGCTCAGCTTTATGCACAGTTTTGGATATATATATATATATATATATATATATATATATATTATATATATATATATATATATATATATATATATATATATATATATATATTTTACACTAGCAATAGTGTCACCTATGAGAGGAGATACCTGAAGGGGTTTTTGGGGGTCAACGCCCCCGCGGCCTGTTCCGCGGGGGCGGGGATGGTATACTCGAGTATCCTAAATGTTAAAAATTAAATATTATATAATGATAATTCTATTTTTATTTACAGTATATTACAATATTTATTCTAAAATATTTGTAACAGTAACATAGCAAGAAGTCTGTCATTATCATTGTTTCTGGACAGTTAGTATTCTTACTGGTCAACAACATTTGTAATCATTTGCTCCCCTTCACTTAAGTTCCCCGATCACCTCAATACATTTAATCCTTCTACTGAGCTTCCCTCATCAGACAGTCTGCTCTCACCTGCCTTAAATATTTGCATATATAAGCAGGAGTTATACCAAAAACGAATGATAAGTAAAAACCAGAATTTTTCTCATATGTAGCATTCGTCCTAACAATCTCATAAGTGGATCTTTGATTTTTAACGTAACTTGTTAAATAATTTATGTTGAGAAATTTGTTTAACTTTAATTTGATTAATTAGATTATCGTTAATGCCTAATTAACATTTCGGGGAGTAGGTGTTACCCGCGTAAAGGCAGACAATAAGCTAAAATCGCACTTACTTATTACGAGAAAATATTCTGTTATATTTTGAATTGGCAGTCTGTGTACACTGAACATGTTACTTAGGTAAGTGAGTTAAGTAACTTAAGAATCTGAAGGCAGTCTGGATCAACTTATTTTGTATTAGACCTCCATCTGTGTACCATCCATATTTCAACGTCAATGTACTTCATCGTATTTTCCCCTTTACCCATATTCCCGCCACCCTTTACATTCCCCCTCCACCTATATTCACACATCAACATGCTTTACATTCCTCCCTGCACCCATCTTTCGACATCTTGCTACATATTCCCCCTCTACCCGAATTCTCGCATCAGCATGTTCCCAGATCAGTGTCGTGTTCGTGTCTTGAAAGAATCACTCATCCATTTCTAAGTTAACCCAATTTCCCTGCTTGCTGTCTTCCCCAGCAGAGGGTGGAGTGGCACCCCAACGCTGCCCAGATGAAGTCGTGCTACATGAAGGGGGGGTCGGAGGAGGTGTGTCAGAACTACATTCGCATTCTGACGGAGAAGTCGCCGGGGCAGTACCTCATCTGCGGCACCAACGCTTACAACCCCATGTGCAGGGACTTCAGACTCGCGGTAAGCTCTCTCTCTTGTACTGCACCAGAGCAAGGATGAATAGATCAGGTAGGTTATGCTTGATGGTAGCATATACAGATTTAATGTAGGTGCCTGATTAGCCACTGTGACGGTTGTACCCAGCAACCTCCTGGTTGGTCAGGAGGCTACCAGGAAAGTTTAGGCACAGACTGGGTTGTGAAAGGTAAAGCATGGAACCCGGCCACGGGTCACTTCTCTTCACGAGTGAGTATATGATTAAGATGGGTCATCTCTTACACTATGAGATTAAACATCAAATAGCTCACTCCTCTTTCCTAGAAGGTTCAGATTTGAGGTGCTTGCGTGAGTGCTTGTTACAGGAAGCGTCAGGCTAAGATGCTTGTGTGTGTCGTAGGTACAGTGAGTGCGCTCACGTGCATGGACCGTCAAAGTATACGTATATACATTATCACGTGTGCTGCAGGGACCGTCAAGTTAACTATAACATATGTTGCATGGGCTATTACATTATGATGTGTGTTGCAGGAACTGTTACATAATCACGTGTGTTGCAGGGAGGAGCTCTGGAGCGGGACAGGGAGTACCCGGGCCGTGGACTGTGTCCCTTCGACCCATCCCACAACAGCACCGCCGTCTTTGCCGGTCAGTATTCTCCAGTTGTAATGTTTTCTTCCTCTTCCCCTTGCCCCTTTCCTTGTGCTTCCTTTCTCCCCCTTCCTTACTCTCGTCTTACAGAATCGTCTTGAAGTAACTTGTCTTTTTAAATATTCATCTTCTCGTACGCCTTGTGTTAGTGAGGTGTGGGTAGCCCACATCTGTGCTCCCTCCCCTAGTCGGTGTGGCAGGTTCGTGGGAGCTGGTAAGCTCTCTTAGAAGAATTAAACTAATTAACGAAGCTGGAACTATCCACAACTTAATTGGAAATGAAAACTAGAGGACGTTTAGGTCGATTCTGTGGCGTCATTCTGTTAACCCGCACATGAGAGAGAGAAGCTTGTGACGACGTTTCGGTCCGACTTCGACCAATGTGTCTTGTAAATGGTCCGATTCGGACCGAAACGTCCTCATAAGCTTCTCTCTCTCCTATGTGCGGGTCATTTGTGTATTGTTCCAGTCAGTGTATTGTGCCTTTTTATTCTTCACTCTACACTACAGCTGGTGACTCCCAACATACAACAAACTGCTTATCTCCTTGTTTCATATCTTAACTGCTTCTGTTTTTTAAGCTTTTCCAGTGACTGCAATGAAAATGTTTTGTATATAACCTGATTGTCGTTCACGTTATAGCTGGATGATGTAAATTTTAACTTCAAAGTCCATTTTTTTTTTAAATGTGACGAGAAGACGCGAGGACGAGGTGAAGACTGAATGTTGGCTTTACCTCTGACAGCTCACTCACTTTCCTGAAGCCGCTCCCACTACCGTTCCCCCTCCCCCTCTCCCCTCTCCAGCTCTTCCTCATATCACGCTTACTGCCGACAGTTGTAAAGAAAAGAGATTACACAACAAGGTTTCATCGGAACAACGTTTCGCTCTAACAAGCGAATATTACGTAGTCTTGAGCTTGATGGAAGATGGGTATAAAACGTGCAGATTTTACTACACTTCTGTCAGAAGTGTTTTGAAATTTGGGTTGAATATACAGTACTCAGATTTAGGTTAATTTAAAATATCTCAAATTACAAAAAAAAAATAATTTTGTCTAAATATGGAAACGTTTAAAAACTGATGCTGTGTAATTCATAAGAAAAAAAGGGTGTAATATAAGGCTGGGTTGTGATCTCAACAGTTATCGCTACACAGCTTTCGGGTAGTCGGTAATTCCTTTCGGAAAAAGTAAGACCGTTAGTGGGGAAATGTATAAGAATTGTCCCAACTGAGATTACTTCCTGAGAGAAGTTATTTTGGGAGAGACGGCAAGTCTTTGTTGGCGGCCATCAAAGGCTTCCAGTAATCCATTGGCGTTTTTACTCTGGTGTCTGAACGAGCTCTCTAATTGGGGCTGTTCCTCTAGGGTTCCTTAACGATCCCGATCGAAAGGAGATTCCCGCCTTTGATTTATATATAAGAAACCCAGCGATCCACAACTTCAAACTCTTGTCTCATCGGCCAAGAGATCAGAGCAATCAATGGAACCACGAGCCGCAAACACTGATTAAAGATAAGTTAGTATGAGAGGGAGGCTCACTGTCTAGCGCGTGTGTGTGTGTGTGTGTGTGTGTGTTAAGGGAGTGGTGTACTCACCTATTTGTGGTTGCAGGGGTCGATTCTTAGCTCCTGGTGTGTGTGTGTGTATGTGTGTGTGTGTTGAGGGATTGGGGGAGGGGGGGGGGTCTTTGCCTCAGTTTCCATCTTGCCGCGCGCTAACCTTCATAGAGGAACAAAGACAAGTCAGTTGCTTTGTCTCGGCTGCTTTTATCCTCCTTGCGTTGCATATCTGTTTGCAGACACAGCTGGATCTTAAGGCATTCAGAGCGGACTCGAGTTTTTGACAAAGCTCCAAATATACTAATATCGCAGACATATTATGGATGCAAGTTGTAGCGAAGATGTAGCGGAAGGTTTGTCTGGTGTTCTGTCTTTAGGAGTTTGTGTTGTCTGTGGGTAGTTGCTCTTCCTTGCTGTTACCAGAACTGAATGACGAGGATGAAGATGTAGCACCACCGGTCATAGGTCACGTACAGGTCAGGAGGTCTACGTGGTGTTGATAAACTTGTGGCTCGTCATTCAAAAGTTGTAAAAGTAATTAACAGGAGCTGCAGCACTCATTTTGACTTTGCTTTCATAATGGAGTGAATCTGAGAAAAGTTTGAATCTTGACGCCAGCACATGGCCAGACTTCATCACATTATATCCAGCTGTGTGGACCAACTGATGAGGAAGATCTCAATTTCACTTCAAAAAAATATCAAAGAATAGGGTTGAAAAAAAAAAAGCCTCCTAGACTACTTTAGGTCACTATGTATCACAGCTCGGCTAGTTTGGTTAGTAATAATAGTTCAAAGTGTACAATAATAAGTGGATGAACAAATTGTTATTTTAGGAGATGTTAATTACCTAATTACTTTTATGAATGGAAGGATGTATGTGGTAAAATGTGCGTCATATCCAGCCAAGGGCTAACATTCAGTCGACAGCCTTTCAACAATGTAAACAAAAACAATAACCAACACACAACTGTTCGCTTCTTAGCAGTATCACCTGCCATTTTGACCACAGATGTGAGTACCATTGTAGAATATAGATTTTTTTTAATTTCTTAGGTAATAAGTATATTTAGATTAGGTTTGGTTCGGTTGTACTGGATTTCGTTAGTATACAAACAACCCGAACACAGGTGACTGAAGTTAACTATTCGTGATGTGACCTGATCTTCACCTCCTTATACCTTCACCTTTCCTGTATTTTCATTGCGTTTTCCTGGGTGGGTTCTGTCTTATGTGGGTTTTGTCCTACCCCCGTAGGACATTAGCTCTCCTACAGTGCTTCTCTGGTTTTTTTTTGTTCCTATAGACTACCTCCACAGTTACTACTACTATTTCCTCACTACCACTCCACTCTCTGCTTTGTCTCACTCCGAATACTACTTTCTTATTGCCACCTCCATCACTATTGGACTACTACTACTAACTACTACTACTACTACTACAATATTATTACCACCTCTCGCCCCCCCCCCCCCTATCGTATGTCCTGGCTTCCTCCCTTCGCGCTTCTTTCTGTGATTAGTTAGTGAGGAAATGGTATTGTGATACCGACAAGATGTTAATCACCCTGCGAAGATCAATGGCTTGATTAACTGGGACACTGGTGAATAAGGCAGCCACGTCAAAACTTGCATGAGTGATAAGTTTACAAATTTTGACGTGACTACCTTATTCACCAATGTCCCATTTGATGAAACCATTGATCTTCTTCGCAGGGTGATTAACGATGATACAGAGTTACCTGTACCCCGCCAAGATTTTGTGAGCCTTGTCAGACTTTGTGTTCGTTATAACTGCTTTAGATTTGAAGACAAGAGGTACAAACAACTCTTCGGGCTGGCCATGAGATCCCCCCTTAGTGCAGTATTTGCCAAATTATATATGAAGGACCTAGAATCCAGACGGATCCTCAGTAACATCCCTAGTTCAGTTACATGGATGCGGTACGTTGATGATATTTTGGTCGTACCCAAAAATCTAGACGTACGTGGCATCCTCAACACCATCAGCACTCTGGTACCTACTGTCAAATTTACACTAGAGGAAGAGAAGGACAACCAATTATGTAGATGAATGGTTCAGAGAACCGACAAGTTGATAAATTAGACACATGTGGAAGATTGAGACACTTATGCAGCATATGGGAATCTTTATTCAGGAAACGTTTCGCCACGCAGTGGCTTCATCAGTCCAATACAAAGAGGAAGGCGTAAGGAGAGGAGGAGAATGAGGTAATCAGTCCCTCAACCTGGAGTCGATGTGTTCAGTCCATCAATCAGTCCATCAATTCTACAAGATTGATGGACTGAACACATCGACTCCAGGTTGAGGGACTGATTACCTCATTCTCCTCCTCTCCTTACGCCTTCCTCTTTGTATTGGACTGATGAAGCCACTGCGTGGCGAAACGTTTCCTGAATAAAGATTCCCATATGCTGCATAAGTGTCTCAATCTTCAACATGTCGGTTTTTCAAACCATTCATCACATAGACACATGTGCAACACTTGGGTATCTTTATTGAGGAAACGTTTCGCCACACAGTGATTTCATTAGTCCATACAAAGGAGAACGTTGAAGAACAGGAGGAGTTTGAGGTAATCAGTCCCTCAACTTTGAGCCGATGTGGTCAGTCCATCAATCTTGAAAAGAATACAGCATATGTGCCAAGAAGTCGCTTATATACCGTAGGCAGGAGAGGTGCAGCAGTCGTAGGTGGTGTCACATTTGTCCAATGTGGAAGTAGGTCGTGCCCAAGGGTTAGGTAAGTGAAGAAATTCCCTGTATTAAGATCCCAAGATGGTGCTGTGTCAGACAGGTATGTAGATGCATGGTTCAGAGAACCGACAAATTGATGCACATGTGTTGCACATGTGTCTAATCTATCAACTTGTCGGTTCTCTGAACCATTCATCTACATTCCTGTCTGACACAGCACCATCTTGGGATCTTAATACAGGGAATTTCTTCACTTACCTAACCCTTGGGCACGACCTACTTCCACATTGGACAAATGTGACACCACCTACGACTGCTGCATCTCTCCTGCCTACGGTATATAAGCGACTTCTTGGCACATATGCTGAATTCTTTTCAAGATTGATGGACTGACCACATCGACTCAAGGCTGAGGGACTGATTACCTCAATCTCATGTTCTTCAACGTTCTCCTTTGTATGGGCTGATGAAGCCATTGTGTGGCGAAACGTTTCCTCATTAAAGATACCCAAGTGTTGCACATGTGTCTAATTTAACAACCAATTATCTTTTCTCGACGTTCTCCTACGCAGTTCCTCGAAGAAGAATGCACATACATCACCAACTCTTTTAGTTCACTACACTTTCCCCTACACTTCATACGTGACTCAAGGAAGCGTGCAACACGTATCCTCAACAAGACCAACACCAATCAAGTTGAAGAAAAGCCTCCAAGTTA